ATTCTTCGTGGTAGCCATGCTGCTGTAGGCAAAACCTGGTAGGCAGATTTCTCTTGTCTGCAGGCTGAAAGTCTGTTGTAATCAGCTTCCTAAGTCAGTGCCAAAACATTTTTAAAAGTGGTGTTTAAGTGTTTGAGAGACTTGTACTTAGTTTTCATAAGATGCCATTAGGATTGTACAATACAAATGGTGTCTGTAAATACTGATTGCAGTCTGATATAGCCATTACCTTTTCTCATCTGCAGGTGTGTGTGGTTTCAGCACAGTATGGCTGTGGTCATCCACTTGCAAGGTCTTCCGATTGTGGTGGGGACCATGGACTTCTCTGGACTGGCCATTCCTGATGGGGGAGTGCATATTGTAGGGGGTGAACTGGGTGAGGCTTTCATCATTTTACCACTGACGAAGCTGCGAGGCTTGCTGTCATGTATGCAGCTGATATTAGAGAAAGGTCAAAACTAACTACTGCAGAGCAATAAAAACCTTATGTCTGAAATGTGATTGGACTTGGTCCATGGCAGTTTCAGATCGGGCACGTAGGTATGCTAGCAGTTCTGGAACACTGTCTGGTGCTGGAGTGAATGGCAGAGTTGTCCTCACCTTTGTGGAATTGACTGTAAACCTGTTTTGGCATAGAAACTGCTTATGCTGCTATACACGAAGGAAGGAGAATTTGTGTCTTGTTGCTTGTGTGAGAACCGCATTTCAGATCTTGGGGCTGCCTTTAGTGTCCCAGTTCAGTTACACCAGGGCTGCATCTGCAGTGACGCAGGACAATCTCTTGCTAGTTGCTTTTACTCCCTGGTTTTGCCAGTGCTTTGTATTAACCCACTACTTGTCCCACCCACCATGTAGTCCTGCTGAATCACCAGTGATGTAGAACACCTCACAGGAACTGGACAGCAAGCTCACCATCCAGAATAAAACTTAATACTACTTTGCACGGAAAATGTATATTTATGCAAACAGTCAAAGTTTACTGTTCTCCTTTATCAAGCCAGAGAACTATGATTTTTCATGGAGTTCCTGTTTCTCTGTGCTCCGGAGGGGAAATCCCTGGGTTTGGCACAGGTACACTAAAGAAAGAGGGAGGTAAGAGGCTGAATTGTGGGAGTGAATTGCTTTCTTCTGAGCTGCCTAGGAAGTAATGAACTGAGACAGTGCGAAGTCTGGAAGTGGGACTGAGTTAAAGGCAGGGTTTTTGGTGTGATGGTACGTAGGCAATAGTTTAATCATCCTTACTAGTGATTTGGAAAACAATGTTTGCAAAGGTAGTAAGATTTTGAAAAAGACTGCAGTGATTTTGCAGTTTCCAGAGAGAAAACAATAGAGGCTGTTACTACTGAATGAGAAAGTTTGCCAGAACTGCTTGGTTTTCTTCTGTGTGATAATATGAAAGATTTCTCCAGCTTCCAGAGGAAACCTGTTCTGTTGGAATGTAGTGATGTGCCAGGTTTGGTGCTCAGCACTGTGACAGAGCTTAAAACCGAAGAGAACAACGAGTACGAGTATGGGTGTGCAGGACCTGCCCTGTTAGCAGAGCTGAAAACTTCTTTTAAAAGACAAAAATCATGATCCCTGAAGGGATCAGTATTAATGTAAACCTGTTCTCCTCTGCGTTGCCCTGGTATAAATGTGCCTTCCTGATTGGTACCTGTGAGTATTGGAATAGCTGAATAGTCTTAAAAGTCAGCATGAGGTAATTTAGCTGTTAACGGGGAGGAAAAGGGTCTCCCTTTTAAAACAACAGAAACGTGTACTTTCAGTGATGTAGATTCAGAAATAGTTTCTGTTGAAAGTAGTGACTTGTCTAAACCCAGAGTATTTGTTGCTGCAGTAGGTCTAATTCCTAGTGGAATAGGAAGTTTTGGAGAAAAGCTGTACAGCTTTGGGTGTGGGCCTGGTGACTACCCCTTATTTTAATTGTGGCCTTGAGTGCAGGAGGAAAATGGATTCCCAGAGTGAAAAGTGAAGTGAAAAGCCTGCGCGTGTTAGTTACCAAGTCAGTACCAATTCATTTTCTGCTGAAGAAAATTTTAGAAGAGGTGTTCTGATGAAGCGTTATTTCCTAGTTGTAGCTGTGACTGTGATTAGTCTGGAGTTGTTTGTTAACCGTCTGTTTTGATGTAGTTTGATGTTTTTAAGTAGCCCTTGCAGGAGAGGACAGAGGCTGAAACATAAAAAAGGTCGAAGCAGAGGCAGGCCCCTGTGTTCAGTGAGAAATGAAAGTTCTCAGCGTGGTCAAGGTCATGCTGGTGAGATGTGGATGGGCTGTAGTGTTGCCTGTTGGCCTTGTTTGTGAAGAGCTATGTGATGGCTCCCAGTGGAGGTTGTATTGTATGGCTTCAGCCTTCCTCTAAGGCTGTACATTTCAGGGTAAAGTTCCTGAGATGGAGCAATTTGGCTTGTGCAATGTTCTGCCCAGTGTGTATCTGCTTGAGGGAGCTGAAATTAGCTGCAAATGAAAAAGCCTGCGTGGCAAGGCAGGCTGGGCATAGGGACTGCTGGACCAAGCTAAATCCAGTTGCGGGATGTGAGAGAACCCGAAGCAGCCCAAATTTCATAACTTGGGGGGGAAGAGGAGGGAATACTCTGGGGAGGGAGCAGTGATGCGAGTGTGTTGCACACACGGTTTGTCTCGTTGAACTTCCTGATCAGCTGCCTTGTAACAAGCGTGGCTGGGTTAATGAGGTGCGGGATGTGTGTGCTCTGAGGAGTGCCGGTGTTCAGCTGATGCTAACTGTGAAGTGGGCAGAGTGGATTTTTTACAGGATCTGCAACCTCTGTGAATATGGTTAAATGGCTTCCGCTGTTTTTTTCGGATTTCCATTTAGTTGTGATACTGGTAGGTTTTTTTAATATTTGACTGAAACTACAGTAAGGCCTTCCTCACCGAAACTGATGTTTATTTATGGAGCCCTATTGTATGAGATCCTGTTACTGAAGTCAGGAGACGCATACGTTGCTCTTCCAGCCTCACGTAGGTGAGCTGAAATGCCTCCCATTCTTCAGGGTTGCAGCTATTGCCGAAGGGGACCCCTGCAGAGAGCTTCGATAATGTACTTCCAGTGCTTATAGGAGTACGTGGTCGTTCCATGTCCCTACTTAGTGAAAAGGAAAAATAAGTTTGCAGTAGTCATTGTGCAGCTGTAATTTCTTCTACAAGTATTAAGCAAAATGTGTGTCTGCTCCACATCTGGAGGTATGGATTTCTATTGCTAGTTGTGAGAAAGTGGTATTTTAATGGTGTAAATCTGCAGAGAAAATAGTAGATGTTTGAGGTCAGGGTGAATAAACTGTTTAAAAAAGAAAATGTAGCTTCGCATTTGCTTTTTGGATCTCCAGGTTTGGGGTTTATTTTTAATTCTTGCTGTTTATTTTTCATCAGAACTTAAAACCCCAACCATCCTGACTTTTCCTTAATTTCCTTCCCCATCTCCTTTCCCAATTAAAAGTTATGGAGGTGGTAGAAAAAAATCTCCTGCACCAGCCTCTAGCCATATTAGAAGACAGTCATTCCTGGGCTGATTGAGGCTGATGCTGGGAATACTCACAGTTTGTTACCAGATACTCCAGAAAAGTAACTTGCAATGTTTCTGAGTTCCTAGGTGGCTAAAGTATTTTTTCGTTCGGTGTGAATCACTGTGTTGTGAATTGAGCCTACAGGCAATAGCATGTTCCCCCCCCCCC